AAAAAAAAATCATTCTCGAGGCAAGTACGTAAGCGTAAGCATGCAGTATTCTTCCCTAATCCGCAAGATGTTTTGCTATTTTGTCTGGAGTTTTCCCTTCACGCTGATTATACAAAGTCTTGCTTTGATATGAATCCAGTATCACCGGTCTGTCATAATTTTCTCCAGTAAACTGGTCTGTCAAACACTGTCACAATGTCCTCAGTTGGTAAATACGTGGTGTGCGAGGACCAGCTGGTGATGCTTCTTTGCGAGACATCGCTCTTTGCCTTAAGGCCGAAGACAGAGCGCACAATCAACAATGACTTGGGTGCTCTGTATTTATGGGAGCTGTCAACCTCCTTTTGAAAGCCATATTTACCGCATATGCCAAAAATTACTATTAAAACTGCCTTGGCCCTTCCAGCAACGTGAACTTCCTGGTATCAAAGGTCGCAGACAGTCGTTAAAGCAAGGCAGCACAGACGGTGTCCATGTAACGCGAGGGCTCTTGACGAGGTAACTCACGTGCAGCACTGGTCGAGGCGACCAGCGTCAGAACGACGACGAGGAGCAGCAGCAGACTGAACCACTTCATGATGATGTCTACCTTCGCCGACAGAGCGGTGCCAATATATACGCGCTGCCCGGCATGGCCTAAGGCAGCGATTATGACAGTTGAAACCTGTTACAACAAACAGACAGACAGACAGACAGACGCTTGCCCTCCGTTCCGAGAAACTGATGTGCGCAGTCCTACGGATGGAAAAACCACGGGGGTTTAAAGTTCCGAGAAGAGCCGTGCAGATGGGAAAGGATTGGCGAACACCGGGATGAGCGTCGTCAAGGCGGAGATCGCGCGGCGTGAGGGGGACGGTGACGGCCGTGGGGAGAACAGGCGACGAACCGCTGTCGAGGAAAGCTGCGACCCCCAGACTAGTGCCCAGACCAGCGCGGGCGAGCTCGTGCAATCTTGCCATGACTGGGCGGTGGCGGTAATTGGGGACGACCCAGAACGCCGGCCGATAGGCGCCGGGTACGGCCACGAAAACCGCGGTACCCGTCACCAACACGCCATGTAACCCGTTTCTCACGAAGGTGAGCACCATTTGCCTGAGGACGATACGCAGCTCTTCGGGATCCCGCGAGCGTCGCTCAAGACATACTCGCGCCTGCGCGGTAGTGTGCATGCGGCACCGGCCAACGGCGTTTCGTGACCTTCTGTAGTCGAAGGGCCTTCCCCGCATGCGGCGGTCCGGGCGCCTCCACCTCGAGCGAGCGTGACCTGCGGCCGCGGAGACTGCCTCCGTGCGTCGTCGCGGGCTGTGCGGGACTTCCGAGACCCGTTAATGCCGTCCGCGGGTGGCCGACGGCGGCCGGTCACGTGCGGCGCCTCCGAGCCCTGACAGGTGGCCAGGTCATCCTGCCAGGGCCTGCGCTGCATGTAAACCGCTTGCGTGCTTGGCGTCTGCCGGCATTGCGGAGCAGTGACTGACTTAAGACCTGGACGTGGTGCGCGGAGAGTGGATGTGCAGGCCACGAGCGCCGCCTGCCGTCTGCGTCTGGACATGGCAAAACCTAAGAAGCAGCACGGTGCCGTTACCTGTGTCGAACTTCCCGTCACGGGCCATGGGTTTTGACTTCCAGAGCCGAGACACTGTGCCTCTGGTTAGCTGGACAGCGCCCCCCCCCCCCCCCCCCACCTCCACCCTTTTTCCGCGTATCTGAAATCGTCAAACCGGATCTTGATGGTTACGAAAACGGCCAAAAATAATTGTTTGATACCGCGGTAATCCCGGCCATCGACTTCTAGATACGAGACAGAACAGACTTTGCAACAGAAACATTCTGTGTAACAGGGGGCCTCGAATCTGTCAGGAGAAGATTTGTTCAACAGGGGTGGGGCGGTGTCCCGATTGGAGGGGGCCGTCTGGTGTTGGTCGGGGCCTTCTGACAATTGAAGAAAACAAGAACTTATGAGGGCTCACATTAATATAATAGAAGAGCCCTGTGTT